TTGCCCGCAATATGGCACACTATTCAAATTCTGAGATGACAGACATACTTTTAGTATTAGGGGAATGTTAGGGAAATGCTGCTGCCGCTGTAAGACTAAAAAAAGAAAAACTAGTTATTTTTGCCAATTGTGCAAAAACTGGTTATGTATGGAACATATAAAAGCATGTTGTGCCGATTGTGTAGGAACAAAATTAGCATTATTTACCCCCTCTATTTTCTATTTCGAATTTTTATTTTGGATATGTAGTTTTTATATGTCTTACTGTAAGTCAGAATCCAATTCTCTACGTTAGACTTATGCGTATAACTGGATGTATTATTGTTTTGAGTGTCACCTTTTTATTTCTCGATCTTAATTGATATTAGCAAGAAAAAGTATTTCTCAACACCAAGAAAACAAAATATGCGATAAGCACAGCAATACTTATTTTACAGCCATTCCGTCCGCCAAGATAAACCGCATAATTTCACGTCCAATATGTGCTATTTTGGGTTCAATCCCCTTTTCAGATACTCAAATATCTCAAATACAAAGGTGAGACTACAAAACAATAATATGCGAAGTTATCGGTGTTTATTATTAGTCCAATTTTTATGACTGCTTCTTTTAGTACCGATGTGGAATAGCAGTTACTTAACAAATATTGCAGAGTTGGAATGGCAATATATCTTTCGTTGTGTCTAAATATACGAGGCGTACACTCAAAAATTTTTACACAAATAAGTAATAAAGAGCAAGCATATTTGATGGTTTTTATTGAAGTGGTGTTAGAGCTAGCCCATAAGATTATTGTTGCTTGTGTCTAAAACGTACTTTTCTGATTTTGTATAACCTTATTTTAGGCATTTTCTTATTATATCGTCATTAAAAATATTAAATAAAACAAGTTTCAATTTGTCTTTCTTCCTAGATTAAAAATCTGACCCTTTAGATGCTCACAGACAGCTGGTAAATGGTATTCTAGCAAAAACCTTCAGAGTTAAGCCAGTCGCCGGCGCTCGGTCCACAGCGGCATTCGACGCCTAAATGTTTCAGTAGAAACCTAAGACTGGTGGCACTGAATCTTTCTTTTGGAATATCAGTTATCTCGGCTCTTTGTGTAGTGTCTTTTTCGTTTTCGAGAAAAATATAATCTATCTCAAGATAAAGTCGGAAATAATACATGGGAATTAAAAGGTTTTGTGTTTTGTTATGTATGAATATTAGAAATTATTATGATGAAATATTTGGTGGTTTTCACATTAAATAAAACAAATCATGAATGTGTTGCTTGTGTGAGTCCATTTCAAATAGGTAAAGAAATAATAAATAAGACTTACTCACAATCAATTTAATTTAACTATCAGACGACCGGTTTCGCTTTCTACAATATGCAAAGCATCTTCAGGTCTCGATACAAAGTTAAACAAATGCTGAAATGATAAAAACCCATATTAGGGTGTTGTCTAATAAAGATAAACAAATTAGATGTTATAAATTACAATAATTATGCCAATATTACCTGTCTGTGGTTTTATTTAAATGATTCGAGTTGAATAAAAGGTATAAATATTTTTAAGAAAGTTAAAAGGACAAGGTAAGGCCCACAAATTGTCATAAAATCTCTTCTATTGTAATAAATTAATAAATGAGCAAATAAATAAATAAAATAAAATTACTTACATGCCGGTACTCTATTAATAGATGGATGGTAGAATTTCAAACATGTTCTACCATCCATCTATTAATAGAGTACCGCATGTAAATAATTTTATTTTATTTATTTATTTGCTCATTTATTAATTTATTACAATAGAAGAGATTTTATGACAATTTGTGGGCCTTACCTTGTCCTTTTAACTTTCTTAAAAAATATTTATACCTTTTATTCAACTCAATCATTTAAATAAAACCACAGACAGGTAATATTGGCATAATTATTGTAATTTATAACATCTAATTTGTTTATTCTTTATTAGACAACACCCTAATATGGGTTTTTATCATTTCAGCATTTGTTTAACTTTGTATCGAGACCTGAAGATGCTTTGCATATTGTAGAAAGCGAAACCGGTCGTCTGATAGTTAAATTAAATTGATTGTGAGTAAGTCTTATTTATTATTTCTTTACCTATTTTAAATAAAACAAGTTTCAATGTGTCCTTCTTAGATTAAAAATCTGACCCTATAGATGCTTACAGACAGCTGGTAAATGGTATTCTAGAAAAAACCTTCAGTGTTAATAAGCCAGTCGCCGGCGCTCGGTCCACAGCGACATTCGACGCCTAAATGTTTCAGTAGAAACCTAAGACTGGTGACACTGAATCTTTCTTTTGGAATATCAGTTATCTCGGCTCTTTCTCTAGTGTCTTTTTCATTTTCGAGAAAAATAACGTTTTCTAGAATTTTTACCAATTTATTCTAAGTCTTCTAAACATGTGAATTTCTTTTCTTGTTTGTAAATTGTCAATTCTAGTTTTACCTTATCTTTGATATGTCTTTTGTGCTATCATTCGTTGTGTTTTAGTCACGTTGTTACGTTTAATATAATATATTGGAAGTTAATTGAGCAGCAAGCTAGCAATTTCAACATTTTTTTCTTCGTTTTTTAAAGGCGTTTAATTTCACTTAGAACTTTTATATCGTACATCAGTCTTTATAATGTTAATACGTTAGCGTGTTGAGGAAGTACTGCGGAATTTGTCTGTTTTAGTATATGAATGATATCTTTCAAGTTATACCAATTAAATAGTTCTATTGAATAAATTAAACATATAGACATATTATAAATCTCTGTTAATTTTTCAGTTAATTTTTTAAACGCATTATTTTATTTTTTGTTGAAAATTTTAATTTTAGCGAAGTATTTGTACCTCGGGAAGTCCAGGTTTTTAACTCCGCCTGCAGGATCAGTGACATACTACCTCAATGATCTTGTTGCCGGTCCTAAGCCAGGAGAAAGGAGGAAGGTTCTTGGGTCAGATTAGTACTTTACCCAAGTTAAAAAAACCTTGTCTTTTTTTGAAAAAATATTTTTTTGGTTTTCGGTACAGACTATTTAAGACATATTTAAAAAATTTGCGACTCTCAGATCAACGATGTTGCTAAAACATTTTATAGTGAAGAAGTTGAGTGACCAGCGGAAGGTTCTAGTAGTTTTAAAAAGATCAAGAACGATCTAATCGATAATGGAGACAACATAACGACAGTCAAATTCCAGTCAGCAGATAAGTACTTATGAATATAATCAGGGAAATGTCTCCATGAAACTTCTAGTCAAACCAATGAGAAATTAGAAATTTCTAGAAATTGTAATTGGAAATTCAAAAATAAATATGTAAAATTTATTTTTCATTACAATCAATTTTGGTTAAATCCCATATAATAATGCCAAACCAAAACAATTACAGAGTCTTCTATAGTATTTATATAAGCAGTATTCATACTTTTAATTCAATTAAGATGTGATAAAATCCACAATTAGTACCACGTTTTAGATTTGAAACCATCAGTTTTGATTTTTGTATACTGAAAATAAATTCACCATAGTTTTTACATTATCTGCTCTTATGGTATCTTGATAGACTTTTAGTTTATTAAGCTTCTGTATACGGAGCTACTAGACTGCAATAAGACATTAAGTTACATATTTTCTGTAAATACTGTATACTACGGTATAAATATAAATGTAAATCAAGATTCTGAAACTACACTGACAAAAAAGTGGCCACCCTATAAATTTCCAAATATAAAAATTCATTAGTTTTATGAACTGTTTCATATTGTATACTCAACATATTTTTATTTTTAATACAAAAAATGGTCATTACTGCTTGATTCTTTAGCATAATTTATTTATTTAGAAGGCTACAAAAGAAAATAGTGTAATTAATATCGAAAAGAATTACAAACAACAAAAATTAAGGGTGAACTTGAACAACATTGTCATATCAGGTATTATGCCCCAAAACATCAATAACCGTTTGCATACGATTTAGGAGGAAAAGAAACGAACTTTGAATAAAAACATGCTTTTTCACGAATCATCTTCTTTCTTTCTGGCCTGTTTGACTTCTAACCCTACTTCTTCTTCTTCATGCACCATGTCCTTTCAGAACGTTGGTTACCATCATAGCTATTTTAATTTTATTCACTGCCACCCTAAATAGCATGCTTGTATCTACACCATACCAATCTCGCAAGTTCTTCAACCATGAGGTTCTTCTTCGTCCTGGACTGCGTTTGCCTGCTATTTTTCCTTGCATGATATTTTGTAGCAATCTATATTTGGGACCTCTCATTGCATGTCCGAAATATTCCAGCTTTCTCTGCTTGATGCTTTTTATGATCTCAGTAGTCTTGCTGAGACGTTCTAGTAATGTGGAGTTACGAATCTTATCCACCCAGGAAACTTTTAAAATTCTTCTATAGCACCACATTTAGAAAGCCTCAAGGCGATTTAGATCGATTTTATTCACAGTCCAGGACTCGACAGCATAAAGTAAGACCGAGAACACGTAGCAGCGAAGTAGGCGGATCCTTAATGCCAATTTTAGGTCTCTGTTACATAACACCTTGGACATCCTTCTAAAAGCAGCTCTAGTCTGCTCTATTCTGGATCTAATTTCGCCGTGATTTTCTGCATTACAATTTAATTGCTGTCCAAGGTAGAACGATTTTATCAACTTGCTCAAGTTTGGTATTATTTACATATATAGACGGTTTTATATTCTGCTGTTTACTTATTACCTAACCTAACCTAATCTAACCCTACGATAAAGTTTATCCCAAAGATGTTCGATAATATTCAGATAAGGCTCCAGGTTGACCATTCTAGAATATTAATTCCTATTTCCCCTCAAGTAATTTGTTACGATTTTTAATTCATATTCATTTAATTGATATTTGTTATTATCATGCATGAAATCAAAATGCACTAAACTACTTATTGAAACAAAATATACTTAAAATATCTAGAAAGTTAAACTATACAGTTAACAAATTTTAAGAATACTTACTAAGAATCTTCTTCAAAAAATTGAACTAGTACTAAAGGTGGTTTCTTGAATTCGTCTGAAGGAATACTATTCAGATCTTTAACTTGACCTGGCCACCATTTACCATTCAACTTGACCCAGACGATATCTCCGTCTTTATAGGTAGTGTGATGGCCCTCGTCCATTTTGTCCAATTGGTTATGAAAATGTTATTCAAACGAATTAATAACCTAAAAAATATAATACATACTGAAAAAATCTAATTTGCACAATTTAATATCACATAAAATATTTCTTTATTGTTACTGGTAGGAATTAAAAAGAAAGATAGAATACCTTCAGGGATAATATGATCTAACTCCATATGAATCACTTCACTAGGTAACTGCTTCAAAAGTGACATAGTTTTAGGGAAAAAAAATTGGAGTCTATTGAAAATGTCAGATATTTCAGTTAATTCTATGTCTATAGTTTCTTTGTTAATTGTTAATTGATTTTTAGATGCTTTTTACTAAAAGCTCATCAGTACTCTAACAAATAGGGTTTGACAATGTTCTGATTGATGGTTATATGGGTATTACTCTTTTCCGTGAAATAGTACAATTTCCTTACCATATTGGTCAAGTAAATGTCAGTACTAATTCATTAATTGCTATTAAAAACAAATTCATAACTTTACTTCCAGGAACAAAATTAATAACTCATAAATCTAGTTATTCAAAATATGGAGGAGATTGTAATATGTCATGGAAAAAAGATATACCTAACCCCAATTAAAAGAAAAAAACATTAAGAGGATATTAAAAACTATTGAGACACCGTATTTAGTAAATACCACCAGACTTGTTTTATTTTATTTGAAAATGTTCTTTCCTATGTATACTTAATTTTATGTGCCAAAAGAAGGAGAAATATATAGATTTATTGTGGAATTACATGCAACATAGTAATTTTTACACTGAATATTCTGAAAATAGTTGTTTTAATAAAGGATGGTGATGGTCAACATGATTTTGAACAATACCCAGAACTACTTACTGCATAGTATGCGTTGATATATTTAGCAACTGATAAATTTGAGAGGCAAAGAATTACCTTAGTCTAAATATTGCTGGAGCCAGTGTTCATTCAATTTACACATTGTCATCAGCTTTTCTCTTTAATTAAAATACCCGATTATGTTATGTGGACTTTCCTTTTCAAACTATTGCAATCAATACTGCAGTCTGAATTAAAGAGCATTTAGGAGAGGTAGAAAGCCGAAGATCACAATGAAGATCTCAACTAGATGGATTGATCAAATTACAGGAATATGTAAAAGACCTATGCATAAGTTAAAAGAAATCAACAGGGACAGATCTCTTTGAAGACAGACATATACAGCATTACAATGACCACTACACACCCTCAGGGGGTCAGGATTGAAGAGAGAGAGAGAGAGATGAATCTCAATATATAGCAGGATATGTAGTATTACTGATTTTCTACTAGAAATATCCATTTAATAACTCCTTATTAGGCAACTGATTTATCCTTGGGATATTATAAATGAAAAACTGTTGAGATGACTACCTATATCTTTATTATTTAGATTTTGAACCAGTGTAAGACATCACTAATTTTGGTAGCATGGTAGTTTAAATACTTTCTAAAATAAGTTTTCATATTCCATAAAACATTATTGTTTGTTAGGCTATTGCTAAAATGGATGTTTTTGGATTGTGATGTTATAAATAAAACATACATCTTTATAATCAAATCCAATATTTGACAATGGAAACATAACAATTAATGATCTACTAATTCACAAAATTTCAAATGAGCCAAAATGTGGGACAGAAATTAAGTGAAAAATTAAGACAAAGAAACAGGATAATTTCTGATGTACATTGTTTTATATGTATGATTCATAGAAATTCATATACAGTAAATGTAACATTTTCTCCTTTGTATTGTTGCAGTAACTTTCAAAGTTCAAATATGAATCATATGATATGAATCAAATACTCCTTTGATGCATCATCATCATCATTATCACCAGTTATGGATTAATAAAAATTAAAAAAAATAGCTAGAAAAAAATAACCAGTGTATCTGACAAATGTTTTAATAACTTCAAATACAAATAATCAGAAAGAAAAACCTATTAAGTCAGATGAACCCCAAAAATCAATCATTTTCCTAAAATGAACTATGAAACATTTTATAGTAAAGAAGTTGCGTGATCAGCGGAAGGTTCTAGTAGTTTTAAAAAGATCAAGAACGATCTAATCGAGAATGGAGACAACATAACAACAGTCAAATTCCAGTCAGCAGATGAGTACTTGTAGAGTAGAGATGAACACCAAAAATCGATAATTTTCCTAAACTGAGCTGTGAAACATTACATGATCGTAACTTTCAATATATAAAATATGCCGGAGTTCTATTTTAATAGCAAAAAAAAATTATTAAGTTGGTGAGACTTGTGTTAACAATGGACACACAGTAGGCAAAGTTTCTCGAGAAAATGCTTGACAAGCATTTATTAAAGGTTTATCCACAGGATTGCGAGTATCACAGGTATGCAAGGGCCACTTGTTGATTGTTGCCCATATTGGCAGTAATATGTTTTTGCAAAATGTAGTCCTTCTTTTGGACTGTCATCGAATACATGAACTCTAGTAAATCTGTCATATAGTTGGATAATGCATTTTATCACAGCTGCCTTGTTGAATGCACTCCAACTGATGGAAAATCTGTCTACAGAGCTGACTACAAGAAAAATGCATTCCATTTACATAGGTTATAGTCAAAGCAGAACTTTGGACCAAATGTTAATTTGCTAAAATTTGTGTGGTGAATATGTCTGTTGTTATAGCTGGCTCACTATTCCAATTGCACTCCACTGGGTACCATTTTGGATAGAGAGGTTGGGAACCTGAGATAGTGACATGTGTCAGCAGTGCAGTACCTACGGTAAATCAGAATTAAAACTATTGGGCAAAACAGTTGGCAATTATAATCTTTAAAACAGCTGTTAACAACAGTGCCATTGAATGGTTTTTCGAAAGGGAGTTTAGTTGTGATGTTAGATAGGCAACCAATATTACTACCAAATTTAACGAGAGACCAAAAAAAGGGAGAGGGTAGCAATTGTTGGGAGTTTCCCTTATAACGGATAGAGTGATGTAGAAGTGTATGTCATGATATATGTAATGGTAAAGTGTTAACCTTCTTTCAAACTTTGTGTATTTCTGCATTAATAATTCACATTACCTCACAAACCATATTAGAGAGATACTTTTCATTATACATTATTTATGTTTTTAAATAACATACATATAAAATTGGAGTATGATGTTATTGAGACTAAATCCATGTCGGGATAGTATTGTGAGGTTTTCTCATGATTTACTATGGGATCACTGACAGGATCTCTGAATTGTCAATATTAGTGAGTCATTTTGAGATAGATTTCTGAAGTAGAAATCAGACCATCAAAAATAGTAAATTAACTTATTGAAATGTAGCGAAAGCTGGTACAATGTTGAGGATCCATCTTATTTTGATTTTCTTATTAGTAAATGATGTAGTTAATGTATACTTGTCCAATTAGTGGATTATGTTACATGTATGTTTCACCCACTTAAATTTTTTGTTGTACTTTAGTAAGTACCTAATGATTACCACTGAGCTACTTATATTGAATAATTATGTAAACAATGCCCTGGCTCAAATCGGTATGAAAATAATGATCTGTGCTAGATATTGTTAACTTAGATTACAATAAGCTAACTAGAATAAATTTAATTCAAAGGAATTGTTGCTGATATAAATAGCAATACCTTTGAATTGAACCAAAATGCATAACCTTCAAAAGTAATGAGTTTCATATATACATTAAAATTGTTCATTCATTCATAAATCAAACATAATAATCTGACACCCAATGAGGATTAATATAAGTGACTAATAGTGCTAATAGTGCAGTGGTTTAAGGTTGATTCCGATAGTCACCTCACAGTCAGAAACATATATCAATATAACTTCTGTGGTTTTTCCAATGAGGTAATTCCCATGCATGAGAAGATCAGAAGATACAGTTAAGATCACTTCCTGTCCAGTAGCTCAGGAAACAATCAAAAGGACTTGATCGACAAGACCGAACTGCCGGGTTAGTGTGAATAGGAGGACACAATCAGTCAGCCACCTGTTTTCAGTTGTATCATTTTTCTGTTACTTAATTAGTCACTTTTGTTAAAAAAAAATTGAGTGTGTTTGTGAAGAAAGAATATGATTTATCACATCCATTATACTCTGATTTTCAGCGAAAATTAAAAACATGGCAGTAAATGTTAATATCGCACCCTCAATGCAAGTCTGCAGTAACTCAAAATTTTATGAAAATGAAGTAATAATGGAATTCGATTGTAAACATGCATATCTATCCCCTGTAAAACTTTAGTAACTGTCAAATGCTTAACTGGCTAAATATTACAACAACAACAGTTTAACTATTTTGCGTTTTTGTACTTAAGTTCATGTGCAAAACTGTTGTAATTCTAATGTAACAGAGTTACAACAGTTTTGCATGGAATGTTGCAATGATTTCGATAACAAGCAATGAAAGGCACGAAAAAGTATGATATTTGTTATTCCTGTGAGATTATCTTATCATATGTCCCCCCCCCCCCTAATTCCCAACTTTTACTAAGGTAGTAAATTTCAATCCTTTTGTTAATCACTGTATTTGAGGTAGCCTTATTTGCATATTTTTGCAAAAAATCATCACAGACTACACATAATATATGAGAAGGGCTACTTAAACCTGCCTACAAAGAACAGCCAAAAATTCAAATGGCCAAAAAGAAAGATTTGGTATACTTATGCCATTCGGGAGGATACCAGAAGCTCATCATAGTTTTTATAAAAATATTTTGGCCCAAGATGATATATGAGAAGAGGACAACAATTAACAGAAAATGTGTCATACACTTTTACAATTTTCTCCATGCAAAAGTGTTGTAACTTTAAAATTCCTAATTTTTAGCATTAATATTATTTTATTTAAATTTCTATTTTTGGTTAATGTAATATAGGCTGAAAAGCATGCAAAATCATAATTAAATGTTAATTATTCTTAAAACTTATGTCTTATTTCACCGATATTAGCTAAAAAAAAATAAACAAAATTGTCTTTATC